ACTGGATTCGGATTGGGCTGCTAACATACAAAATTCCACATGAAAACACTCCATTGAATGCTAGAAGTAAGTTTTGTGTATAGCAAATTAAAGACTGATGCTTATGAATATAATTGTTTGCTCAATTAAGAAATTCAGATAATCTCTTAACACTCAGTAGATTTAGGACAGCGTGCAATGGGACAGAAGATTCCATTATGGTTTAACCAAATATTTGATACAACCCAGTATTTTGTTTTGTAAATTTGAATAACATTGGAAAATTATTGGCAAGTACCAGAATGCCTTTCTCTTATCTCAAAGAATTATGGAAAAGGCAGTGCGGTTTTTAACAAAATGTTAGAGTAATCATTTTCTTAGATATGTTTTTGAACCTTACTCATTATTTCGATTCTTAAATAAATATTTAAGGAATGAAGTAAATTTTGGGAGTTTCAGTGCTTATTTTATAAGAGTCCATAAATAAGTTTCAAAATCAAAATTTTAAAGATTTCTGGTATATTTTCTTAGCACCTGGTAGAATGAGGTTGTCCTCTCTCTTAACAATAGAGAGGCACAGAGCTACAAGCAAGAATAAAGTATCTATCATATAAACATTCTCCTGCCTTTTACAGTGGGGGTGGAGGGCATGAGAAAATTGTATTTTCACTTTATCACATTGCCTGATAAAGAACCTTTAAAAATTTGAAAGCTTAAACTGTTTTGAGTCTAAAACTGGTCAAATAAAAATATTAGTTGTCTGAACACAACTACTGGAACTTCACTAATTCCTGGTAATTTTAAATTGAGACAATTCAATGTTTTTATTATGGATTAGAAAAATAATGAATATTGCCAAGATTTTGTGAAGATATGCACAGCAACATCATTATAATACATATTTTATTTACCTAATTTAGAAGGCTGCCCAGCTCTATAAGATGGCATACAACATCAAGAACAGTAAGAACTATAAAATGAAAGAAAGAGGTGCTTCCAGAAGAGAAACATTCTGAAGATCATATCAGATTTTAGAAAGATCCACGCTCCATCCTAAGTCCTAGTGAAGAAAGCCAAATTTTCAAAAGTTTTTAAACCTAGGGTGGAGGCCAAAAGGCTCTATGGTGGGATGCTGTTCCAGAGAATATTACTGGGGAAAAAATTGCCAAGCTAAAATCTAGGAAGATTTCACTCTGTTAAGGTAACCCTCATTTAGCAACCACAATTGGCACTGGCAACTCAGTTGTTAAATGAAGTGGTCATTAAGTGAAACCACAACTATGCTTACTATCTTACTTCGGCTTCCCTTTTGCTTTACAAACCTTACAAATGTTGTACATGTGAGGATTAGTTGCAAAGTAACTTTTTTATCACTGTTGTAACTGCAAGTAGTCTCACTTAACAAGGACTATATGTTCAACAAGGGCATAATATAAACGGTTGATTCCAGAATACTTTAACAAATCTTATGTATATTAGGGCTAAGTATACTTTGAAAATGATTTACATGTACTTGGACAACCCAAAAGCAGAATACTTTTCATTAAAAGTGTTACGTTTTTAATTAAAGCAAAGTTTGAAAATGAACATTTGCTACAAGAAGCACAATGGCTGTGTATATGAGCATGCTTCATCCTATCTTCTTATATGAAAATAAGAACTGGGTACTTCAGGAGAAATGCAAAAAGTAAATTGAATGCCATGGGAATCGGATGTGAAAATATGTGTGATAAAACAAGAAGACATTGGGTGAAGAATGAATATGGATTGAATATACAAGTGAATGACTATGAAAGAAGGACGTTGAGATAGTCTGGTCAGGAGGACTAAATGAGGATCCAACCACAAAACCTAAAGGAAGAGTGAATGGAGTGAAGGGAAGAGGTAATCGTGGTTAGATGGAGCTGAAGAGATTGTGAATTGAACAAAGGAAATGTATTAAAAGTGGTATATGGACAGAATGGTCCCTGATAGAAACAAGAATGTTTAGGAAGAACAGAAAGATATAGAGAGGTATAGTGAATAGTGTTGATATAAAACTAATTATATTTTCTTTTCTTTTACCTATCTCATGCCTCAGTTTGGTTGAATTACTACTTCTCACTTATTTTCTGTACTTTGTATAACATGGTTTACCTTAAAGGGAATATCCTGATGGGCATGTATGAATACTGTATTATGCAAGGGGACATTTCAGTTATCTCACATAGTTTCCATTTGTTGCTTTCTTCCTACACTGCATCACCATTTTGAAATACCTTTGTGATTATGGGAAATTGCCTAGGAAGGGAATCAGTTATGCTGGAAAAAATCAAGTATCTAGTACTGACTATTTTATAGAGCTGATTCAGCTATTATGTTCATTTACAAATGTAAGTTACCTCTGTATTATAAATGCAATTTATATACATGTATATTCTGAAATGTTTAAAATGTGAATGCCTTTTTGATTACAACAATAAATAAAGGGGGGATATAAGCAAACACAAATAAATGAGTAGAATGCAGAATAATTTCTACAAAAAACTCTATAGCTACTAAGTAGAACTGTTTCAGCCTTTAATTTTTCTAGTATACTTAATATTATTTTAATAATGTTGGTCCTATTAGAAAAAAAATATTTATTAAACAATTCCAGAATCTGAAAACTTTTTTCTTGCTCTTATTTTTTGTAACTGCTAACCAGTGGAAATGTCATTTTTAGCCACACAGTGACACCTCCTGGACAATGATATTGCTGTAAAAAAAAAAAATCAGAGGTTCACAATGAAAAAAAAAAGTACTGGGAAATTGATATATCTAAGAATAAAAATGGCTTGTTCTAACCCTTTATCTGAAATGTTAAAAAAAATAAAAGGATACTTATGTTTGGAAGGAACCCATAGACAATTCTATTATAGAAATAAACAGAGAAAATAATTAAATAATTCCTGATCTCCATCTTAGGTTTTAGTTTATCAAGTTCATTATATCCAGTCTTTCCTCCAGGAGCAGAAGGTAACCAACATAGTATGCCCTCTTTTGATTTTTTTCTCACAACAATAGATCTGAGGTGTTTGTGGTGGATTATTTAGTTTTGGAAAAACTGTTGTTTCCTCCTAAATAGTATTCCACATGTTTGAGCAGGCTCCACTGCTCTGACCAAGCCATGAGGACTAGCAAATAGGATCTCTGTATGATAGGAAATAGGATACCTCCTTAATTCAACCAATGATCTGGTGACTCTAGTCTTAATACGGTAAAATGGTAACTGGTTTGATATAAGATAAATGCATTAGGTGAACTTAGCAAATCCATTTGACAGCTAGGTTCATTGACAATATTCTTACTGTATGAGCCCCAAGGAAAAACCAATAACTCACAAGGTATTAAACTATATTATATAATATTTATTTTCACGTATTTTGCTTTGGCTTTTTGTTTTCTAATTATAATTTTAGTTTTGTACTAAATATTTTCTCCCTATGTCTGATGGATTTATTGTATTTTGTATCCTAGCTGCCCTTAAAACTCTTTTTTTCCCCTTTAGAGCAAGAGCTGCTTAAATGTGAAAAAATAAAAATCGAGACAGAATTAAAACCCATTAACCAGAAAAATTGCTGCTGATTGTTCCTGGTGGAAAAGCCTGACTTTCTCTGTTTCCCATTATTCCGTTTTGATAAAAATGACCTTGAAAGAGATTAATTACAGGTGGAAGCACTTTCGCTTTCTGGCCATTCTTGGGTAGTTCCTGTGTCTCCCAACAAAGTGACAGTTTAGGGCAGGAGTTTCCAACCTTGGCAACTTTAAGATCTGTGGACTTCAACTCCCAGAATGACCCAGCCAGCCAAAAGAGGACTCCTTTGCAGCTTCTTTCTTTGAATGAAGAAACTCTTTTACAGCTTTGCAAAAGTTTGGGAAAACCTTTTCATTATTAAAACTCAGGCATTTCTAAGATACTAGATCCTGCAGGGGCCCCAGTGGTGGCTGTGAACCCAGGTCATTGAGGGAAAGAGCTAGTCAACACTGTAAAATGGGGGGGAACCCTTTTTAATCTATGCCACATGTGTTGCATGTCCACCAAAAGGATCATGGTGTCAATCACTCTTCTTTTGCCTGCTGTTTGATGCTGCTGACCACTCCTATGGACACACCAGTTTTGATTTCTCTCAGATACAGTAAAATAGAATAGAAAATGTTACTTAAGGCAGGTAGAATAATACTGATTTGTAAGATGATTAGGGGACTGGAAGGTAAACCATGTGAAGAACGGTTGCAGAAACTGGGACGGTCTAGTCCAGGGGTAGGCAACCCAAAACACTCAAAGAGCCACTTGGACCCGTTTCCCACCAAAAACAAAACACTGGGAGCCGCAAAACCCTTTTGATATCTAAAATGAAGATAACACTGCATATATCCTTTTTTAACCTTTATTATATGTGTGTGTTTCTTTTCTGATGCATTGATTAAGTGCAGCAAGTCTCCAGGTGTCCTTAGGCCAAATTTGTATCTAATCTGTAACAGGTTAAGCAAATGTTTCTCCTACTACAAACCACTGAAAAAAGGCCACAGTGCATGCAAACCCTGATTGGAGGAGGGGATTGTATACATCTGCTGCAAGCAGGCAGGTGGGCAAAGCCCATGCTGAATAGGGTTTGTCTGGGCAAGTAGGTGGTGTTCTGCTGCTCAGCCATACCCCCCCCCCCCGCAGCACCAACACACACCTGCCTTTCTCCTGGCTCAGATTGGCCTTATGCAGTCTTTTGGTTTCCAGCCTGGTGTCTTGCCCGACTGGTTCTCTTAATAAGATACACCACTTTAAATTCTAGAACATGCCAGTAGAAATGTTTTCAATTAGGCCTTGGAGGGCAGGTGCCAGGTTGGAAAAATCCAGTAGTATTAGTAGGTTACTCCAGCTTAGTGGAAGCCAGAAAAGTAAGTAGATAGTTAGACGGATGGATGGATATATAGATAGATAATGGATGGGCGGACGGACAAAGACAGACCGATGCGTCTGCGCTGTGCACGCTTGTTGTCAGCGGCGCGATTGGATCTCCTGGAGAGCCGAAGTCTTCAGTTCCAAAAGCAGCCGGCAGGCGTCGCTCTTGACAACGGGAAGCGACCGCACCGCAGCTCGCTTGACGTCCCCTCCGCGTCCTGCGAGCGCGCAAATCGTTTTTCGCTCGGGGGACCTTTTTCCAGAGGAAGTGCGGGAAGAGGGAGGAAAACGGAGAGAGGGAGCCTGATTTGCTGCAGATGCCGAAGCGAGCGAGGCGGCATCTCCGATGGGGAGCTCGTTCGAAAGGAAAGCTCGCCGCTCTCCGCCTGCCTCTCTTTCCTTCCCGGCTCTAGCCTCGGCCCACTCGCTCGAGCCAACCGGGTTGAGACGCCCCGACCAGAAGCCGCTTCGGCCGCTTCCCGTCTGCCGGTGCCAGCCTTTCCCGCCGCCTCCCCCGTCCGCGCCCGAGGGCGGCGGCGGCATCCATGGCTGCTCCAACCGGCCAGCTTCTGCAGTGCAGCGTCCGGCTGCTTTTCCTCAGTGAGGAGCAGCTCCGGGAAGGGCTGCCGATCTCCCAGCCCGCCCAGAAAGCCCCCCTCCGCCTGGAGCTTTGCGCGCGGGACGGAGGCGCCGAGGTGGCCGTGACAGACGGTTAAGTAAAGCCAGCGGCGCGGGCAGGTGTGGCCGGGCGGGGAGGAGCGCGGGAGTCGGGGCCGACCGCGCGGAGCGTCCCGGAAAGACGCGGGAGGCTTCTTGGCCCGGGAGGAGCTCCGCGGAAAGTTCCAGCGGCGCCTTTCGCGCTCTGCGGGAGCCGCTTCTTGCCTTCCTCTCTCGGCTGTCCCGAGGAGGGCTTGAATCCTAAAATTGCGGAGGGGGAGCTCGGGAGAATGCGAGGCGGCAGCAGCAGCAGCAGCCGGGCCTCTCTATCCCCCTGCCGGATCCTGGAGAGGGATTGCAGCGGCGGCGGCTTTCGCTAGGCGCGAGGGGAACGGGATCAGCCGGTTGTGAGAATGCAGGCGAGAGCGAACTTGCGTGTGCGTGGTTTTCGCTCTGTGGGCTGATAGTGGAAAGCGGTCAAGGGTCCCCCCGCGGGAGCAGAAGCCTTGAGTGGGGAACCCTCCCGCCCATAACTAATCCCGTGAGAATGCGTAGAGTGAGAGATGCTAGAACACAGATTCGTTCGTGTCTGAAGAGTTGGGCAGACAGTCTTGAAAGTTTTTTATTATTATTATTGTTAATACTATACTATTATTGTTACTATCCTAGATTTGTAAAGGTTGCCGAGATTTTCCTGAGAACTTTATTGTGTTGTGTAGTACTCAGACTTCCCATCTTTGAGGGGTAAAACAAAATGGTACAGCACAGAACGAGGGAGGATGGGATCCCTTGATTTGTTTCCATCCAGTCTGTGGTCCTTGTCATCTTTTGTCTTGTTTCCCCTTCTGTTAATTGGTTTTGTTGTAATTGCCATGCTTTGATTGTTGTGAGGTGTACCCAGAATCCTTGGGAGCCAGGCAGCATGCCAGTTTGATTATTAAATGAACAGATACAATATGGAAGATTACTTTGTAGCTCCTCTTAATATCCATGGTTGCTGCCATAGAATTGTTGCAACTTGTGAACTCTTACATGTGTATCATTTAAATCAGTATTTCCCAAACTTGACAATTTTAAGGCATGTGGACTTCAACTCCCAGAATTCCACAACGCTGGCTGTGGAATTCTGGGAGTTGAAGTCCACATGCCTTAAAATTGTCAAGTTTGGGAAACACTGATTTAAATGAACTGAAAAAAAATAAACTATGGCATGTATGCAGGTCTTCTTTTTTTCCCTTTCTATTACATATATTTGAGGGTTGAGCCCTAACATGTAAAGTTCTAGGAAGTAAATTGAGCTGCTGATCTTAAATTCCAGTGAGCATGAACTTTCACTGAGTTGTGTTCAAATTAGACACCAACTCCTAATTAAGCTTTGAAATGTAAAAATTGTTTATGAAAGGCATGGCAGTTGTATAGGTCAGACATGCATTGAATTGTAATGTCTCATAACTGTTTGGTTATACCTAGTCCAATAGTAAACGAACAGAACAATCAGCCAGAGAGGTCACCCACATATTCCCAAACCATGCCAACTGGTCTCTTAAGGACGTATCCTCATGATGTTCCTTCTTCTCATCCAAAGCCCACAGCCGAGGCCACCTAACTTTGTATTTATCTGATCCAGGATTAACATGTTTTCCACCTTCCGCTGATACAGGCTGCAGAATTATGCACAATTTGTGGTGCTTCAGCAGCTACTATATGTTAGAAGCGTTGACCACAGCTAGAATCAACCCTGGTCTCATTTGCTGCTTTTAGCTGCTACAAGCAGATACTTTACCTCCAGTTCCTTAGAACTTCCTTCCATGGCCATGTTGATTTGGGAAACAGGAATGATCAGGCGCCAGGTGTTCATAGAATCCAGTTTGACAGTTTACTAGTCCAACCAGGCTCTTTATTTACACAGATGTAGTAGTCTAACATGAGACAGCTAGATGTGTACTTAAAAAATGTTCTGGCTGATATGTAGCCTGCAGTAGTACTGAATAAGGATCATCCTCTATCCAGGGGTAGGTAACCTCGGCTCTTTTATGACTCGTGGACTTCAACTCCCAGAACTCTCAACTCTCAACTCAACTCTCAGCTATGCTAACTCAGGAATTCTGGGAGTTGAAGTCCACAAGTCATAAAAGAGCCGAGGTTGCCTACCCCTGCTCTATCCATTACTGGTTAATATCTCCCAGTCTCTTGTTTTAGGGCAGAGAGAGAGAGAGAGATAAGCAAGACAGACAGATGAGTAAGAGAAAGCATGAGAGAGCAAATGGAAAAACAGTGAAAGTTGTGTGAGAAAGAAGAGGGGAGAAGGATGAATGATGGAGAAAGATGAGTGTGTGTGAGAGAAAAAAAATGACGAAGGATTAGCAAGAAAGAAAGATGAGAGAGAATAAATACAAGCAGTCCTCAACAAGTCCTCAACAGTTCATTTAGTGACTGTTCAAAGTTACAACAGCAGTGAAAAATGTGACTTATGATCGTTTTTCACAGTTATGACCTTTGCAGCATCCCCATGCTCATGTGATCAAAATTCAGATGCTTGGCAACTGATTCGTATTTGTGACAGTTGCAGTGTCCCGGGGTCATGTGATCACTTTTTGCGACCTGACAAGCAAAGTCAATGGGGAAGCCAGACTCACTTAACAACCAAGTTACTAACTTATCAACTACAGTGATTCACTTAAGAATTGTAGCAAGAAAGGTCATAAAACGGGGCAAAACAGAAATTTGGGCTCCATTGTGGTTGTAAGAGAATCCATGAATAATACATGGGTTGGGTGAGGGCTACAGTGTCCTGGTTCCCGAGTCGTTAAGGATTTTCCAGGAAACCAGGAGAGGTGAAAAATCTCAATCTACCTTGCAAATCAGATTCAGGCAGATGAATATACAGTACTTATGAATATAGTTATAGGTTTACCTTTCTGTTTGGAACTGTACCTCCTACCCAGTCCAGCTCATCCCAAAACATTACAACAAATACATGTAATATTTTTCCTGCTAGTAGGAAATCACCTACTGCAATTTATAAAAATTATCTTTTTTTCCTGTAATGCGTGTGTTTTTTTTCCCACTATGGTCTGCAATTGACAGAGGCTTAATAGAAATGAGATCGGGTTCTCACATTATCAGATGAGATGACTAGATGTATTGCTTTCTCCATAGTGTTTGCAAGAGGGTATACTCCATTTACTTTTAGGGTCTGCTCCGACATTATGAACAACAAATCAGTAAAGTGAATTAACATATAACCAAATTACACTGTCCATAATGTCGGAGCTGACCCTGAAACTACATAGGATACACCTCCTGCAAACACTAGCAGTGCTCGTTAAAAGATTCAGATGTTGTTAATACACAAATCTGTAAAAACTGAATTACAGGCTCAGGCTCTATTTCAAAGTAAAATCCGAACAGGTGCTTTGGAGCATGGAAATCCAAATGTAGTAGCTATTTACAGTTCTTTAAATCAGCAGTGACTTTTCCTGAGATGCTACTGTTGTCATCTGTAGCTGTCTCACAATTGTGGGAAAAGACAGGTGCTGTTTGGACTCCATAACACCTTTTTGAATTGAAGTCAAAATATTGTGTCTTCTTTTTTTAAAAAAAACCTTTGTCTACTTAGTTGATCCAGAAGTAAATTAGAGATGCCTCCAGTCAGCCAGATGTCTGTATCTCTGTGCAGTATGTTTTGTTTCAAGTCCTCAAGTGTTAAAATTATATTATTTTTCTATATTATTTTTCTTATTTTTCAGTAAAATAAGTTAGCAGCAAATGCGAACATGGATAATGAAGGAAGGCAGTTACATCTGAATGGTATAGCAAAACCTGGATTTATTTTAAGGGAGAAGTTAATTTGTGGCCAGTACAATCTTTCTCTCCAATTTTCTTGCACTACAAGAATCATGTTAGACTGCTGTTTCAAAAGCTTTTCTTTAAAAAAAAACTTCTATTAATACCAAGTTGAAGCTAAAAATATTTATAGAAATGGAAACAGATTTTTTTTAAGAAAATGGGGGAATATTATCCATTTTAACTTCTTTTTTTGTATTTTAGTATTAATTATGGAGACTTATCAGTATAAATAAATGTCTGCTCTTTCTGTATCCTCAAAGAAGATCCTTCTAACATATTGAAAATATAATAATAATGCAAAGTTATGCTCATGTCATATTTAAAAATGCAATGATCAGATTATTGCTCTGCCTACTGCCTACTGAAACAGCCCAGTACTGTGAAAATGGGAGAAATATTTCTATGCCTTTACAGGTATTCCTCAACTTACAACCATTTCTTTAGTTATAGTTAAAGTTACAATGGCACCGAAAAAGGTGACTTATGACCACTTTTCACACTTGCGACAGTTGCAAGGTCCTTGTGGTCACATGATCAAAATTCAGATTCTTGGCAACTGGTTCATATTTATGATGGTCGCAGTGTCATGTGATCCACCTTTTGTGACCTTCTGACAAGCAAAGTCAATGGGGAAACCAGATTCACTTTATAACTATGTTACTAACTTAACAACTGTGGCAAGAAGGGTTGTAAAATGGGGCAAAACTCACTTAATTGTCTTGCTTAGCAACATAAATTTTGGATTTAATTGTGGTTGTAAGTTGAGGACTACCAGCATTAATTCAAATTGGATATGTGCTCTTTAGAAAGCTGTTTACAAATGATAGCAGCTTGTACTAATTATATGTTAACTAAGCAGGGTATAAATTCAGCAATAAATACTTTCTATGGCATTATAAAATTAAATAATGGAGTAATACTTTGAGTATCAATAAATAAAAACACCAATGCAACTTCCGTTTATTGATGCAGTGATGAACTAGCCAAATTTATTTTATAAATCTTAAGTCACCTGCATATATTTTTTCCTACAAGTTTATGTGACCTGCAGGAATTGTTCCTCCTGTAGTTCTCACCTCTCAACCTAATAACTAATGACTTTTTCCAGCTGTCAGTCCAGCTGACTTTTTCCAGTCATTAACAGTTTCAATTTTGGATTGATTCTGAAGAGCACATAGCAAGTACTGGTTAAAATACAGATTCCG